CCTGTCTGTGCTCCTGCACTCTGAAGATGCCGGTCACAGGTGCTGGCGAAACGTTAGGAAACAAAACCTCCAGAACACAGCCACACAGCCCGGAAGACCCACACCAGTCATCGTATGCTGGCCGTGAAAGCCTTCGACAATACGTTAAATTGCTGCTCTCCTTCAAGGCTATAATACTTTCCTACTTTCACTGCCTGGCAGTGCATGGTATTTCTTCAGCTTCTGTATACGATGAGTCTGAGAGAAAAACAAGTACAGCTGGGAGGCTGGCAGTAGTAAGTACAAAGCATAGCGCTATGAATATCTCCAGGGACATTTGTGTGGTTGGCTCTCCTCCAGCTATCTCCTTTCTCTCAACCCCTTCTGGGTGGAGCGTTGTGGAATGAAAATTAACCTATCCCAGGGGTCAGTGCAGAGTTGGGAGGTTAGACACATTAGGAGCGTCCCAGGTTTCTCAGAGGACAGAGCAGAACAACAGCAGGATTCACCAGGAAAAAGGTAGAGTATGACCCTGTTTGGAATTCTGTATGTGGAAGAATTTCAGTTCAGTTTCTGCAGATGATTGAGGGTTTTGGATTGGTTCACTGAGAAAGATTACCACCATGAATATGGCCTATGAGGAAGTAAGCAAAGAGGTAAAAAAGCGCAGTTGTTTCCTAGTCAACATCTCGGCATGTTCCTGAAAGGCACTTGATGTCACATCACTTTCCATTAGACTGACTTCAATGGATAAGAGTGTAAAAGGTTTTGAATCCTGCAGTAGGAAGGCATAATAGTGCTTTGCATCTGTATTTTCTGAACATGGTACTCTGCCCTTCTCCACTATTACCAGGTTGTTTTCTTGAGTGTGGGAAGAGAGAAAAGGGCATGACAGAAGGGAATGGGGACTGCTAAGCCAATGGTGGGTATTGCATGCAGCTTGTATAGTGTCAGGTACGTGGGGTGGGGGGAACACCATAATCAGCTTCTGGGTATGTCAGCACAGCTGCTTCTAATAGGGCTGCAGGGAATGCTCCAGAGCCATCTGGCTGATAGTATTACAAAACTATTGGCAAAGAAAATCATTTAATTTGTCCAAAGTAAAAGGACGAACTCTGGTTCAGCTAAAGAACTTTCTCTTTCTACACTGCCTCTTTTCTGGAATCAAGACAGAGACATCTAAATAAATATTTGTTTTGTTTTGTTTTGTTTTGTTTTGTTTTGTTTTGTTTAATTTACACTGCTTGGTTCCACTTCTGGGATTTGTGGTGTATCCTAATTTAATTTTCCCATGAACTCAGGACTACTATTAAGCTAAACATGTGGGACTCAAGTTCCAAATCTATTGCTTAGAGCCCCAGAGTTATTTCCTGGAGTCCTGAGTATCCATTTCAGTTAATATAAATGTAACTTCTAAGTTTAACTGACAAAAGGAACAAAGGAGGGAGCTTGATTCTGACTGAAAGGATACAACAAGTGAAAATGACCAAAATTTGGGAAACGCAGTGCTGTTTTTTGCCAGGCAGGGATGCGCAGATCAGATTTTTGCTTTTCTGCATGTCACTGGGAAATGTATGAAGAAAGTTTATTGTACATTTGTTGCTTTAGAGAAGATTTTTGCTGATCTCATCAGCTACATCCAACCACAATTTTCTTTCCCTTTCCCTTAACCCATGTAATTTTCCTTCATATTTTTTCAATCCTCATTCTTTCTTTTTATATGACCAAACACTTGAGGGTATTTCTCCCCTTTCTATTCCCATTCTTTTAGCACTCACCTAACCTCTCTTTTTCCCTTTCTCCTATAGGTATAGCAGGTATAGTGAATAAAGTATAGTGGTATAAACTAGATATACAGTAGAGTCTCATTTAACCGACCTTCGCTTATCTGACATTGCATCTTATCCGACGCCCCTAAAAAAACACAACAACAATAAATTGGCGACGAGAAAAGTGTGCCGCTTGTTTGCGAGTGTGAGTGTACTCTTTCTTGTTGCTCCTGACGGTGCGGTGCCACAACTCAAAAATCGATTGCAACAGGCACAGCGGATCGGGTTTTTTTTTTTTTTTACCGCACTCAATTGTTACTGTGTATTATCCGACATTTTCGCTTATCTGACGTTCTGCCGGCCCATTTATGTCGGATAAGCGAGACTCTACTGTAGCTATATTTCCTTTTCTTTTATATTATCTCATGTCTTTAATTTCTTTGGCATACTGTTTCTTATTCCTTTTCTGCACTGTGCCCAAAAAGGAATAACTAGCATGATCAGTTTTTTTATGTAGTGTGTACTAGGGTTTTGCAAAACATTCAGTGCCTGAACAGTTTCATGCACAGAACAGCTGGTTTTAGGTGACTGTGAAGTGATAGAAGCTATAGTAGATGAGGTAGAAGACTTGTCTGGAATCTTTCTCTCAAACATCTAGGCTGCAACCCTCAACATATTACAAGGCTTAATTCCACTGGATAATGGAATAGCATTGCTTATTTTCTGTGGTGCAAAATATGATATGGAGAGTGATCTTCTGGGAAAGATCCTTAATTCCGCTCTCTTTTCTTGTAGGCTGAAGGGAGGTAGTCGGGATGGGCTACTTGCCCCCAACCACAAAAGCTTTGCTGCTGGGACTGGTGATTGCTACTACAGTGGCAGAAGGCCTTGTGGTTGAGAACCAAACCAGAATATGCCAACCAGCCCCACTCTGGAAGATAAATGGCACAGACCCAATGGCTGGGATGGAAGGCCAGGTGACAGTGGTGGCCCTTTTGAAGGCTAGCTGACAGTTCTGTCTCAAGCAAGCAGCCAGGTGAGTTCAGCCCATAGAGAAGATTGCTTCCTTCGAGTGCTATAAAGTGTCTAAAGATAAATCACATCTTTGGCATTGAGGTTTCGGCAGAAAATACTGAACTGAATGGAGCATTAATTAAACTGTAGAAAGGACTGATTTTCATAAATTCCTGTTCAGCAAGATATAAAATGAACCCTTGGCTGTAATATGCAAGATGTGATATACAAAGAGGAATGGCTATAGTATAACCCATGAACTACAGTACTGCACAATATGTATTCAGGCATCTCTAAAAACATACAGCTGTAATCACTTTAACAGGCCATTTAATGAGACAATAAAATAAAGTGGTGTATCTTGCTCTACAGGATTTTACCCAAATTATATAAAGCAGTCTTCTCCCTCCTAGTGCCCCCAGATGTCTTGGACTCCAACTCTCATAATCCCTAACCAGCGATGAGAGTTGCAGTCCAACATGTCTGAATTGCCACCATCAGCAATGGGTGGGGGCTGGGAGTTACATCTTCGCATGTCCTTTCCTAAATGTTACTTATTGCTCTTTTCACAACCAGCCTTGGCAGCTTGCGAGAGAAATTGTCTGGTGCTGGCGTGGCCAATGTCAGTTTCATGATTGTGAATGAAAAGACCCCTTCCTCCAGGGCAATGTATTGGGAGCTCAAACGGCACGCTCCCGAAGGCATCCCAGTTTACCAGCAACAAATCCTGGAACCCGATGTCTGGCAAATTCTAAAGGGCTACAAGGATGATTTTCTGATATATGACAGGTTGGTACATGAGACAGGGAAAAATCCATTCAAGTGAATTTGCAAGGATATAACATGACTATAAAATCTCTTGGATTCCATGTTGGGGCTGAAAGGGATTGACTAAATCTAAACTTAAAAGTCCCAATTCTATCGATAGAGTGCATAGAGGCCAGAAGGCAAGAGGCATGTTCCTTGTCCATTAGACTTTTCTTCCCATTCTATTGTTGATAAAAATGCCAGGCCGGTCAAGTTATGTTCATTTCTGCTCATGCACGGATGGACCCTAGAGTGTTCTGAAATAAACTTCTTACACTTTTCTTCCATGGCATCTGGGCTCTGCAGGTGCAGGAAGCTAACTTTCCATATCCAGTTGCCATACAGTTTTCTGCACTTACCATATGTCGAGGCTGCTGTGCGCTACACACACCACAAAGACTACTGTGGCAATTGTTCCTGGTATTATCTGGACAGCAGCCAGGAGGTAAGAGTTTAAGTCATCTCTCCCTCTTCAGCCCTCCCATTTCAGTAACTTATTTCTTATTTGTTCAGCTTAATTTTCTGATACTTAAGAATTCTCCAAGATTGCTGATTGCACATTTCTTACAGTGGGGATGAGACAATAAAAGAGGAGATGTATTCCATATTTTCCTTTGCAGTATACAAGAAGAAGCAAAACTGGAGTGTTTCAAAGCATCTTTAACTGTAATTGGAGGGACAGAGCTGAAGGATCTGAAAGAATAACCTCAGAATCAGGCACACATGAAGGGTGCAGATTTAATTATTTAAATCCAGGTCTGCCTCTGTTACATATTGGCTGAATTCACACATTGTGTTAAGCTATACTTTACTTAACCATTAGTGGCGAACAAACAGCAGTTGACTTGATTTGCACAACATGCTATGCCAATATCCATTATGGCTGAATAGGAGCTATGAATCAGGTCAAAGAGTAAGTAATGATGGCAAGGCTAAAGGGACATGTCAACCTGCAATTTACCTCTCTACCCCTGATCTTTTTCAGTCTGTCTAATATTGGAAGTGAATGTAACTAAAAAAAAATGTTTTTGGGAGAGGGGAATCTATTAAGTAGTTGCTATCAAATGCAAGGATATTTTTGTACTCATTGTCCATGATTTTAAAAAAATGCCCTTCCTTCCTGTTTTATATATGGTGGAACCATACTTGCATCTAATGCCATAATGGCTGAACTCACTTGTGCCACACCAAAATGTGGTTTCTTTGTGTCTTAGCTTGCTATGGAAATCCAGCCAACTAAAGCCTATCTACGAAGCAGAGAAAACACAGTTGAACAAAATGTTTGAATCTATTTTAGTGTAAAACTGTATTCTCATCACCTAGTGACAAGAATCTTACTTTTGAAAACCGCTCTCTTAAAACTTGAAACGTTGCCTTGAGAGAGTCAGCAGAAGAACCATTTGTATTTGCTAGATGACTAGCAACCCATTCTGCAAAGCTAGTTCACTCTGGCAGTTTGCACATTTATTCAACAGATCAGCTGAATGTAAATTCACAGCAAGTGGATCGCTTCAGGCTAATGTATAGGCATTCTCCTTCACCCTTGAAATGTTCCATCTGTCTTCATCCTAAATCCATCTTATAATATATCAGAACTCATTGCTATTTCACAGGTGAATAATACAGCAGGAACTCCCACGATGACGACTTTGGCTCCCAGAGTATTGAAAGGCCAGCCTGAAAAGAAGACCAAGAGGCACTTCAGACACATAGTCCAGAACCATTCCCATCATGGGGGAATTACCACAGCCCAGCCTACCCTTCATTCTCAAAAACATTCAGAGAACCACCAAACAAGGGAATCTCACTAAATGTCTACAGTATGGAAATAAATTCTCAACTGTTAGGAACCCCAAAATCTTACACCAAAAAACTAAGCAAGCACTATAAGAAATAGTTAAGGAGTAAACTTACACATCTCAGAAAGGAATGGTTCCATGTTTAGGCAGAGTAAGAGAACAGAATATGCCAAATATTCTTAGAGGGGCAGACATCATATTAAACGATAATACAGTATGTTTTGTTTCATTGTGACTTAGCATGTTGTATATGCCAGCGATGAACTTGGACTTGAGTGGTGTAGTGTAATGTAAGGGCTGAGCCCATAGGTTGAAAGGCTAGAGGTTTCAGACCTTGTCTCTCAGAAGACCACTTCTTGGGAGTGCAGGTCGGTATTTCTCACTGCTACCACTTATCTTCTAGGGCGGTGTTTCTCAACCTCAGCAACTTTAAGATGTGTGGACTTCAGCTCCCAGAATTTCCCAACCAGCACTGGCTGAGGAATTCTGGGAGTTTGAAGTCCAAGTATTTTAAAGTTGTTGAGGTTGAAAAACCCTGTTTTAGGGAATGTCTCATCTCCTGACTTCCCACCTAGCCACAGTGTGTGTGAGAGAGAATCCTCCCTTGCATGCTTTCTAGCAAATGAAAGGAAAGATAAAATGATGTAAAGGAAACACATTTGATAGCACCGCCTCCTGGCCCTATGCTTTTGACAAGTCACTAGGAAAACCAGCGCCTCTTCCCCTTTCTTTTGGTGAGGAAGTAGATCAGCCACACAAAGTATAAATAGAATCTTTTTTTAAAGGAAAATGTAAAAATTTCCTTTTTAACCTTAAATAGGCACATGCAAAACATGCAGTGGTAGAGGAGATAAAAATATAGAGCTGCTAAAATTGCAGAGTCTCAAAAGGAAATTCTAAGAAAAATATATAGGAAAATATAAAGTTCTGACTGACCACAAGATGATAAACATGTTACTAGTATAGAAGCAGATTTGATGTAAAGGGATGCTAATTTGCATGAAACAAAATTTTACACAATATTCCTAGCTCAAGTTCTTACCTAATTCTTTAGGATATCTTGAATCCTGAAGCTAAAGTCCCCTTTCTTGCTTTCATGGATGTTTCCAACTCCTTGTAGAATTGTTCTCTCCCTGCAACTCTTAGCAGTGCTCCCTTGTTAACCAAAAGGACCCAAGTCATATCCTAGCAAAGAAGAACATTGTAGGAGGAGACCCATGCTAGTCTAGAGTGGCAAAGAATCAGAAAGATGGCATCTAATGAGATGAGCTGCAGCTCCTGAAAGCTGATGACTTTTAATACATTTTGTTAGAAAAGGTGCCACCGGACTCCTTCTGATTTTTTTTTTTTTTTTTTTAGCTAAAGAAGGAGGGCTTGAGGAAATTTGATGATTCTCGGGTCCATGCCTGAGAGAAGATGCTACTTTGAATTTCTGTGTTGGTAGCTTGCCTCTGGCCTGAGGGGCTATTCGGCCGACTGCAAGAGTGAACGTAGGGGGTTAGTGCTTACCTGCCCATGTTTTTTAGAGCCATCAGATGCCTCTCTTAGCAATTGCCTATTTCCAGATGCACTTAGTCTTCTGCTGCTGGGAAGTCAGTTTTGATCCCCTGCCTTTACATTTCCTGCTTTTCTGCACTCAATGAAGCATGTAGTGTAACCTCAATATTGCAGTCACTGCAGTCTGAAACTGTTCAGAAAAGTAGTTAACCAAAATGGAAAGATGGGATGTGGATCAGAACCACGATTTGAGGAAGGGTGACAGACTAAGTGAGGGGAATGGAAATAGAGGGAGCTGATTGGGTCTGGCGCCCTTAATTTAGCACACTGATATCCATGGACCTGAACGGCTAATTTGAGGATTGTGGTTTTTGCGGTACTTCTGGAAGGAAAAGGTTTGCTAGAATGGAGAGAATAAAATGGAATTAACTGGGTTTACAGAAATGTTACTTGCTTCTATGTATATCTCACTGTATGTAATCAGACACGATTTGGGGGTGAAGCTTCAATAAGTGGCAGCACATTATGAGATGAGCTGCTGGAGAAAGTTTATTCTTGACATAATATTGGCAAAAGTAATTAAAATGAATACATCATGTACTGAGTACAGATAATACTGTATTCTGATGGAAATAAACCATTTGAAATTGCATTTGAAGTCTTCATTTGCACTATCTTCATGGATCAGAAGCGTTACAAATTAAAGCAAAGCCTTTTATTTAAAACACATACTGTACACACGCAAATATGACCAAATTAATTTTTGCTTAGGATACCAAATTTAAAAACTATCCCTGGCCAGGAGCTCCTATCCAAATCTTCTGATATTCTTCCACTTTAGATCTTTTGCACTCTATGTCTTGTTTGCCTTTACAGCAAGCTCCACGAAGACCCTGAATTATCTGAATGTAGTTAACATGGTTGTAAAATATTTGCTAAAGCTTATCCTTTAACTGACCTCTCCTTTTCCCTATGCTCTTTAGATTCATGCCCCTCCTGGCTTGTGAAAGCAGCCCAGGGGGTGGTGTGTGAGGGGGTTCTAGTGATGGTTAATGAATCTTTTGCCCCCTCCTCAAGAGACCATCGTTAGACCCCACTATTCTGGACAATTTTCATCCAGTATCTAACCTCCCCTTTTGGGGGAAGGTGATTGAGAAGGTGGTTGTGCAACAGCTTCAGCGGACCTTGGATGAAGCGTATTATCTGGATCCCTTTCAGTCAGGATTCAGGCCTGGGTATGGGATGAAAACAGCATTGGTCGCGCTTTTGGGTGATCTCTGGCGAGGGCGGGATGGGGGTTGTGCATCCATCCTTGCCCTATTTGACCTCTCAGCGGCTTTCAATACCATCAACCATGGTATCCTTCTGGATCGGCTCCGGGGATTGCAGGTGGGTGGCACAGTGTTGTGCTGGTTCACCTCCTTCCTCCAGGGCCAATTCCAGTCGGTGGTGGT